ACCCTAACCCTAACCCTAACCCTAACCCTAACCCTAACCCTAACCCTAACCCTAACCCTAACCCACACCCCCACCAACACTGGCAGGGCATGCCACTGTATATAAACAGAGAGCAAACCCCATTCCATACTAGCACTGAAGATGTTACTTAGTCGGGTAACGAAACATTCGCAAGAAAACAGCCAAGCTCAGAGGACCCCAAGGACTCCACAGTTCAACCTTGCACTACACATATTCACTTCTATTGTTTTAAGTAAATAAACATAATGCCAGTAAGTACACATTGGTGTTTTTTAAACTCTACCTTACTGAAATTTTGCAAATAAAATTTTAGAGCATACCTAGACCTTCACTGATTCTCCTGCCTTCTGCTGAGCATCTTATATGATTATACACATTAGTTTTCTGTCTTCTATGAAAGGAAGGAAGCCATGTGGGCAAGAGTTTTTTTAAATTGTCTTTCCAAAAACAATAGATTCAAAATCAATAACTTTCATATAGCCGCACTGAACTCTTGGAGGAAAGGCAAGATATAAACCTAATAAATAAATAATAAGTAGCAAGAAATCAAGTGCATCTCATAAGAGCCAGGAAGAATACATTTGGAAACCATGTTGCAAACTTGATTTAGAAGGCTTTAAAACAGAACTGGGGGGGGGGCAGGAGGAGTGGAAACATAGCCCAGAAAACAGTATGATACCAAGGAATAGTCTGGGAGTGATACACATGATCTATTAATGGGCATACAAGAAGGAATGGGTTGAATTATATGATCAAAGGTGTCCAATGTCTATGTAAAATGTATAGAGAACAAACTGCAAAAACAAACTCTTAAGGCAAATAGGATTTAGCAGGCATTATTAAAACCTATGGGATCAAATATAAGTGGAATGCAAGGATCGAAGCCTATACCTTATTCAAAAGGCCAAGCAAAAGAGAAGGGTGGTATATGTGAAGGAAGTGCATGTATGTGTACAGTTCCAAGAATTTGACCACAAGAGTCCAACAGAGAACATTTGAATAAAAATACAAGGAAACGGAAACAATTATAATATTATGGGAATATGCTATTCACTACACTGAGCCGACAGAAGATTTGAGTAATGTCCTCCTGGGCCACATTACAAAATTTTCAGGGAACAGAGACTCAGTAGTAATGGGAAACTTCAACTAGCTTTTGCAAAACCAATTCAGCCAAGACAGCAAAGTCCAAAAATTCCTTCATAGTCTTGCTGTCTCATTTTCCAAAAGATTGAAGAAGAGACAAATGGATACATTCTTCCAATAGGTGACGAGCTAACAGCACTGGGAACCTTGTAAGGAAGTGATATCATAATCTTCAGGTTCATGATACCACAAAAAAGGAAATACACGCACACTAGATTCCAAACTTTCAACAAGCTTAGAGAAGTATTAGATGGGATTCCATGAGCAGAAATCCACAAGTGAAAGGGAGCACAGGGAGGTTGGTAACCTCCAAAAACCAAGATCTTAGAAGTACAATCACACACCATTCCAATGAGAAGGAAAAATGGAGGGCAGCTTAGGAAACTGTTGTAGATACAAAGGGAGCTTTCAAATGGGCTTGAAGGGAGAAAAGGAAAAGCACTGACACTTTACTTGGAAAAAATAGTAAAATGGAAAAAGGTGATGGAAAAAGGGCAGAGTTCCTCAACTCCTACTTTTAGTCTTCTCCTGAAAGGGAAATTATGTTCAAATGAACCTAAGCAGAACTGATACAAGAAGGAAGTGGCAATTCAATGTAAGTAAAAAGTTAGGTAGGAAGCACCTACCTACCATGAATGAGTTCAAGTCTCCAAGAGCAGATCAATAACAACCAAGACCACTGAAAGAGTGACTAGTTTAACTGACCAGGGGAATGTGATGGACATGGTTCATCCTGACTTCAGCAAAGCATTAAACAAACGTCTCCATGCAATCCCAGTAGAGAAGATGGCAAAAAGTAAACTGGACCACTACCATTAGATGGATACAGAGCTGGCTGAATCCAGCATCCAATGAGGGTATATCAATGGCTCCTCATCAAGCTGGAATGAAGTGTCAAGTGACATACCATAGGGTCTCTTTTTGGGCCCTGTGCTATCAACATATTTATAAATGACTTGATTGAGGTATTAGAAAATGTGTTATCAAATCTGCAATTGACACAATGAACAGCAAATCGTTTATGGGCCAGCATAAAGATTCAGGAGGATCCTGATAAGCTAGAACAGTGACTTGACACTAACAAGATGAATTTCAACAGCGAAAAATACAAAATCTTACACAGGAAAAATTAAAAGCATAATATAAAATGGGAGGGAGGACTGTACTGGGCTGCAGTAATTTGAAAAGGATCTGGATGTCTTGGCGGATCACAAGCTGAACTTTAGCCAACAGTGTGATGCAATTGCAAAAAACAGCAAATGCAATCATAAGTTTTCAGAAGTATAATGTCAAGATCAGGAGAAATCACTGTTCCTCTCTATTCTATATTGGTCAGACTGAACCTAGAACACTACATCCTGTTCTGGGAACCAAATTGTACAGAATATTGACAAACTGGAGAACATTCAAAGGACAGGAATGAAAATAGTAGGTGGCCTGGAAGAAAAGGTTTCTGAAGAACAATGATAAAATTATAGATGCTAAGTACATTTAACATGGAGAAAACTGCAGGGAGAAATGATTGTTGTCTCCAAGTATCTGAAGGTTTGACATACAGAAGATGTGGTTCAGAGGCTTCTCCCACACCATTGGCCCGAAGTGCTTAAGGCAGCACAGATCTCTTTGTCACAATAAATTTAAGTCACTTTGTACAAGTATCGTAATGAAGTTAATTGGTCAAGATCCTCTCAGTAAATGAAAATCAGAATAGCACTCCACATACCCAAGATATTATGTACCAAGATATTATGTACCACAATACTATGCACAAGCATACAGCAACAATATAAAACCTCTATGCTTAAAACAATTTTAACCAATTTAAAGTATTTTATTCATCCACAAAATAAACCTAGAAAAAAGTGGGCCATTTCTGATTAAATAAACCTCATTTTGTCACATTGGTTTGAGTCTAGTTTTAAATGCTGGTTTTGGGACCTCCGTTTGGCTTCATGCAATACGTGCCTGACCGTTCCTCAATGTCTGATTTTTCTCTTAATATTCCCTCTTCTAAAGTTTGGAAGGTAGTAATTGGAGAAGCAGCATATTAATAATATTTATAAAATGTTTTCTTTGGGAAAGCTCATCAATATTGTTTCTTTTGATGCAAAGATAAGACATTTTTAGCCTCTCAGCCTTTTGAGATCTTTGTTATTTTAATTCCTTTATATTTTTTAAATATTAATTTCTGTATTTATTCTTTCTCTATCCTATCCATTTTTCAAACAAGAATAACAATATGTATTTGAGGAAGATTACTCTAATTCCCAATAATACTATATATATTTATATTTTTAAACTGTTATAAATCTCTATTGTTTTTCCTATAACAGACTAACTCAAGTAATCCTCTGAAGTTACTTACTATAGATGACTTCCCTTTTTACACATTAACAAGCATTGACTGAGGCAAGGCAAGTCTTACAGAAAAAACTATCAAACTGTATTTTATAAAATACATTTCTCTGTTCCCAAAAGAAAAAGAATTAACAAAATAATTCTACCCTACACGTAATCATCTTTTAAACAGAATTGTGAGATACAAGATAAGATAGGGCCTTTATTCTACCACCAAGGGAGTCAATGGCTTGCAATCACAATTATGGCTAACTCACCTCTGTGGCAGAAAAATAATACACAAGTCCAAGTTAATAAGATTTTAAAATCATTCTAAGATTGTTGTACCATTTGCATATAAAAGAGAAAACAGGTAATTCCTTCCCCATTTGTGCAACCTTCTTTAGGGCAGGGTCTTAAGAACACACTTTCTGTTTAGGTAATAACAGAAATAATTCATAAAAAACCAGTTAGTCATTGGAAAGTTTCCTCGAGCAGCAGAGCCTAGTAAAAAAGGGGGTCCACAAAGAACGTTAATACACCAGGAGATATTTTGCAAAGGAGAAACTTAAAACGTCTATATGAAAAATCACTTCAATATAATTTTCATAGTTTATTCACACAATTAGTTTATGCACAATGTTATCGATGAACGTATAACGTGCGAACCAGGCCAAGATCTCCCGGAAAAGTGGAAGCGGCATCTGCTGAATATGATAAGGGTGGAAGGAGTACAAAGGTTGCTCTTCCACTGGCTTCGAGCACCGCCCTACAATTATCCAAAGAGAGAGGCGGGGGTGCTCCTCGGAGAGTCGCCTCCCCGTAACCTGCCCACGGGGCTGGGAGAGAAGGACGGGAGTGTCCCGTCCGCGAGAAAACTTCACCCCGCCTCGCCATTCCCCAGTCACTCCCCACAACCGACACAGATCTCCCCGTCCGAGACCGCCACTCCTGAGGTCTCTTTGCGCCTCTCGCTCAGCTAACGCAATTAGCGTAACCGGAACGTTCACGGAACAGGATACGCTTTGGCGAAGGAAGTTATTCACAGAGGGCGGTTACGCCAAGGCCACCGCTTTAATGGATACTGCTTCCGAAAGCATCGCAGGAGACGCGCGTGACATTCTCAGAAGGCATTTCCGCAAACTCCGCCGGCTACTACAAGCCGGCCGGTCAGAGCCTCCCTCCGCATTTTGCCCCCTCCTCCGTCCGCCTTCCCGATTCCTTCTCTTCGCCCGAACGACAGCTTGACTTACCGGCCGACGAAATTCTCCAGGACGGAGCTCTTGCCCGCGCTTTGACCACCCACCACAGCGATTTGTGGCAGGTCGAGGTGGCAGCTTTGTCCGATAGAGCTGAAAGCATCCTGTAGCTTGTTCACCAGCGGAATCAACTCTTCCATTCCTCGGTTGCCCATAGCAACGTCCTAAGGGGGGGTAAATCCCCCACACTCCAACGCTTCCTCTCACAACCCCAGGCAACAACCAGCAAACTTCCCCTTTGGATTCTCCTCATCCGGCCTCAGCGACGCCCCGCTTTGCACTTCGGCCCGCCCTACGTCTGTCAATCACCAGTACAATTCTAATGAAAGCTGTCATTTCCCGCTCAAGGCCAATAGCAAAGGAGGATTTATCAGGCTCCCATACTGATAGGATGGCATTTATCTATTATGTCTGTTTCCGGTCGGCATTCTAATTGGACAGAATTCCATGTCATTCGACAGACCCTCGGCTCAATCAGCCAATAGGAGCTTTAAGAACACGGTCTATATTATAACCCTGCCTTCGACCTCTTTATGTTTTTTTTATTTGATAAGCAACATATCCATCTCTTAAAACAACGAATCAACAATCAAAACAAGGGACCACTCCCATCCATCAAGCCACTTTCGCTCTTTATTGGGCAATATTTCTATCACATGAAGGAATTGGCCAATCGCTTCAGTCCAATTCGCTTTTCACTGGGTATTTGTTACCTGAAATGACGTTTGAAGCGCTCTATTTTATTGCTTCTTATCTTACAAATTATTGTCCTTTGCCCCGCTACCAAACTTATTTCCTCATCGGAAATGTAGATTGATTAATATCTCAAACCGCGATCCTGCACACGCTTGTCTTTAGGAGCCTGGCAACAATTGTTACAGTGTTTGGGTTTTTTATCCCTCTGCTTTAGGGCGAACCGTTACCTGTACCAGCGGATACTATTTTATACAGTAACATTTGCGAAAGAAGTGTTCAGTTATCCAACCTGTGTCAACTGACTTTATAAAAGGACAAGCCTCCAGTAACGACGATAAATAAAACATTCGGAAAATGAATTACCAGTGATAGTTTCATTAGATACTTCCTAGAAGTGGGGGACTAAGTACAAGCAATTTCTTCCACGGTTTCCTTATAGGTCAAGGTGATTCTAGCTGGAGTAAAAGTCCTGTAGTTACCCAGGAACCACGCCACAAATGACTTTCTGGATCAAAATCAGCCCTTTAAATTGTATCTGGAAGCCAGTCAGGATCCAGGGCAGGGCTGGAAGCACAGGTACAATATGCTCCCAACACCAGGTGCCACTTATCCCCTGAGCCTCTGCATTCTAGACCAGCTGTAGCTTCCAAGTGGTCTCAAAGGAGACTCATTAGAAAGTATTGCAGTAATTCAACCAGGTTTTAATGAAGGTATGAGTTACTGCTGTTAGGTCCTCTTGCACCAGATAAGGCTGCAACTGGCACCCCAGCCAAGACTGGGCAAAGCCTTCCCTTGTTACAGCCTCCAATTCTAGCAGGATTCATGAGTCCAGAAGGACCCCTAAGTCACAGATTTGCTCCTTTAGGGGTAGTGCTTCTCTATCAAGAGACAACACTGGAGTTGACAGAGGGCCTTGATGGATGAACCTCTGGATCACATCAACAGCATTTCCAGTGCAGCCCGTGGTAATGATGTAAAACTAGGTATCATTATCATGTTAATGATTTTGTCAGAAAACGACAGACACGGGTTCGGTTGTCCAGTAGACAGAAGTTTTTTATTGGGCACGTTTG